GGAAACAGGACATTGGGATTGGAAGAACAAATCACAATATGCATGTGACCTAACCTTGTTTGCTGAAAACAAGGAGGACTTGAGGCACTTGCTGGGAGACATCAAAGACTACAGCCTTCAGTTTAGATTACTAGTCAATGTTAAGAAAACAGAAACCCTCACAACAGACTCAATAGACAATATCGTAAATGGAGAGCAGATTGAAGCTGTCAAGGGTTTCATTTTTCTTGCATCCACCATCAGTAGTAACTGGAAGCAGCGGTCAAGAAATCACCTTACCACATTGGGTAAATCTGCTGCACGAGACAAGAATTGAGGTGCACCTGACTCACGCCATGGTCTTTTCAAGCACCCTGTCTGCACGTGAAAGCTGGCCAGTGAATAAGGAAGACTGCAGGAGAATTGATACTGTTAAATTCTGATGTCGGGGAAGACTATTGAAGGTACCACGGATGGCCAGAAGAACAAACAAGAAGCACACTCAGAAGAAGAGAGGGTGACAAGATGTTGTCACCTGTTCACTTCTGATGACATACCCACTGGTTTCTGGACTGGTTCCTGGAGAAAGACGTCATATTTGTTAAAGTAGAGGGTCAGCCAAAAACAGGAAGACCGCTAACAAGATGGATTAGCACAGTGGCTGCAGCAATGGTGTCCACCATAAGACCGCTCTGAGCATGAAGCAGTTCTGGGCGGTGTATGATTCTGGTGTGCTCAGGTTGCTATGACTTGGATGCTACCTGAGGACATCCACAATAACTTCAAGAGCATTCTAGTCTTTGAAAAACGTCTGTCTGTATTGATTGAAATACATGTCAAAAAACAAGATACTCATACAAATCCTGAGGCTTACCTTTTAGGTTGGTAAAGATAAATCTTATGGCAGTATGAACGTAGTTAAATTTATTCTTGTTACAAACCTTGCATCAGCCTTAAAGTTTTAGGTGGTAGGTTTTTGTTTGTTATACCATAAATATTCTATGTCCTATGGTTTTTCTTAGCCGAAGCAGAAAGGATATTCAATACAGTGCCTCATTAAATAAAGTACTTTCAGGCCTAAGTGTTAACATTCATCATTTGAGTCATGGAATGAAAATTATCCCAATTTAAAATGGGCTTTACCGTGCTGCTCCGGAAGGGGGAAGGTCATCTGTCCCTTCTTTCAAGAAGGAAAATCCCCTCAGGACCAATCAGGAGAGCAGCACTATTAAGAGGGAAAGGGTAAGGCAGGAGTTGGGGAAGTAAGGGGAAACCGATCACCATGATCAACATATGATTCCCATCCCAGGGGGATGGACAGCAGAAAAATGGGTGAAATGAGACAGCAGTTGGTGTAAGACATGGAAAGAAAGAAAAACTTATAAATTACCAAGGGGGTATGGAGGAGGGAGGGTGAGAGAGGGAGGGGAAAAATGAGG